CTCCGCCTGCATCTCCTCCATGACGAACGGCAGCTGGTCTCCACTTGGCTGCGCCTCCTCTCCCCCTGGCTGCGTCTGCAGGTCCTCGTAGTTGCTTTGCTTTCTGGTCTCCAAGAATTTGGCCACACAGTAAATGATGGAGCCCAGGGTGTTCACCACGACGCCAGCAATGAATAGAGAGGTGGGCTCCACGTCGCTGAAGGCCACCATACCCACGGTGATGGTGGCGATGCTCTTCACCACGCCCACGAAGCTGGTGGTCACCGCCGAGTTGATGTAGGTGCAGTGCAGCGTGGTGAAGTTCATGGCGCAGCCGATCAGGATGCAGGCTATGAAGATGCAGACCATGGTCGGGTCCTTCCAGCCAGGGAAGGCCCAGGCTTGGATAGAGTCCGTGCTGGCGAAGGAGAGGATGATCAGCAGCGGAGTGGCCGAGACCGCGATGACATACTGCGCGGTGAGCGGGCCGTGCTCCGTATCCGCGCTCGCCTTCTGGATGAGTACGAGGTAGGCAGCGTGCACCAACACCGCCAGCACGCCGGTTACGTACCCCATGGGGTCGCCGGTCAGGTCGCCCGCTCCTGGAGCGCGGGAGGAGGACCGCGGAGCCAGGGCAGGAAGGAAAAAGAGAAGACACCAGGTTGGCGCGGGTGGGTATTCACTGGGGCAAAGCGTCGGGTTGGAAAGTAGACGGGGTTCCCGCCTCAGCTCTGCCCACCGGTATAAATGGAAAAGCCAAGCGCAGTCAATGCCCAGTGCCAGGCATGAGGAAAGGGGCCTTCCCTGCTACATCCACAGGGCACCTTGTCTACCTCTGTCCACGACAGAGGCCGGAGAGAGCTCAGATACCCTCGGGGTAGGTGCAGTGGCTTCCCGGAGCTGGCACGGAGCTTAATACCCTTGCCCTCTCCGTGGGGCGCCAGATGGGAGTGAGAACGCAGCCTGGGGCTTCTAACCCGGAGGGCTGGGCGCGGGACGAAGAACGATCCCCGCCCTTCGACCCCCAAACGGACGTTTCCGGCTCCCGCCGGCTGCCATTTGTCTCAGTCGGACAAACCTAGCCCCCACGTGGGTCTCCGGGAGTGGCTTTCGACCCCCTCTGCCTCGCGCCTGCAGCCCCCCGCGCGGCGCCCCTGGAAACCTAAAACTAGCACCGGGGCCTGAACTTCGCTCCCACACGTCCCCCTCCCCCACGCCAACCCTGCGTGACCCAAGAAAGTTCACGGCCCCCATCCTTTCGGCTTGGTCTGGGGACACCAGCTTCCAGGCTCAGGATGCTCTCCCACACTTCCCAGAGAAACGAAGGGGTGAAGTGGGGAGACGGGGTGGCGGGCAGGAGGATACAGGGTGAGACAAGGGCGGGGGTCGAAAGCCAAGACAGGAAGTGGGGGGGGGGTTCTGAAGGAGGAAGCCCGAGCAGTGGGCAAGGCTTCTTTGGGTCTCAGAAGTCGCGTTTTCGAACCAAGAGACCACGTTCAAGGGTCTCTGCCTCTGTCTGCCTCAGTCTCCCTATCTGGAAGTGAGGGCGTTGCACTAGTGATCCCCACGGTCTCTGCCCTATGAAATGGAGTGGGCTGGGGGTCAGCGCGGGTCCCGCTCACCTGCCAGGGCAGCGCCGCAGGTGGTGATGAGCACGGCCGCGAGCACCCCTGGCGAGGGCGCGCCGTTCTTGAGCACCAGGACTCCGATGAGCATGGTGACCAGGGGCAGGCAGCGCTTGAAGACCACGTACATGGGCAGGCTGAGGCCGCGCAGGGACCAGAGCGTGAGGCTGGACTGCAGCGTGGAGAGCACTGCGACCCCCGCGAAAGAGCGCGCCAGGCTCAGGCCAAAGGGGGGCACGGCGATGAGCCCGAGGCGCCGCAGCAGCTCCAGGCTCAGCGCCGCGGTGGAGCTGGTCAGGCACTGCACCAGGGTCAGGAAGGAGAACTGGTAGCGGCTGATGAGGAACTTGAGCAGGATGTTGAGGGAGCCTGAGAAGACTCCGTGCGCGATGGCCACCGAGATGCCCAGCAGGCGGCCCCGGCACAGCTGCCGCATCTCGCCGGCCCCGCTGCACCCTGCGGTGGCAGAGCTCCGGGACCTACGGGGAGGAAAGCGGGGAGGAGAGACGGGAGGAGCAGAGCGAGGGCGGCGGGGGTGCCAGGCCAACGCCGCGGCACAGGGCAGGGGGCGCCGGCTCAGCGGCAGAGGCAGCTCCAGCCAGGCGTCCTAGCGGCTCGGCGACTCCGCGTCCGACTGCCCCGCAGCTCCCGGGAGGCAGTGACGGGGGCGGAGGACTCCGAAAAGTGGCAGGGGTGGGGGGCTGGTCTGAGAGGAGTGGCGGGAATTCTAGCGACATCAATTTGTAAGTAGGTGACGAGCTGCGAAGGGCTGCGTCCCGCGCGGTTTCACTGTCCGGGAGGACACTCTGTGGCTGCAAGCCCCAGCAGCTGCCGCAAGCTGGACGGGACACGCGCCCCTCCGGCACCCAACGCCCACCAGAGCGGGCTCTCGGGGCGCGGCCCCCGTCTGCGCCTGCAGTGCCAGCTGCTCCGGCTTGCCCCTCCTTCCCGGTTCTGAGTCAAGGGACGCAGGTTGAGAGATCCCGGGCACAGCTAAAGATTTTAGAAACAACAGCGCCCCAGGGTCAGGCACCGTTTATTAGCCGCAACAAGTGACATCGCCTCAGCCCCCTACCCCCCACGCTGCAGTGGCTTTCCCTTCCACCCACGGTCCCTCCCGGCGCAGCCGCGGGACCTTGTCCTGCTGCCGGCCAGGGAAAGGAAAAACGTCGGTACCGGTGGGCTGCGGAGTTCCCTGACGCTCCAGATTTGGGCGCTGACGTCCCGACATTGAAGGAACCCACGACGCCGCACGGGCGTGCTTTAGAGCTCCAAGTCTGGCCCCTTCCCTTCCCGGGCACCGCGCACGCAGTCCGCCGGCCTTCTAGGGAGAAACCTGGAATTATGTGTGTGGCTCCGGGGGAGTTTCCGGGGGGGCGCAGTGGCCTCGCGGGACTGTGGAGCCTGGAGACAGCGGCAGGGGCACGTGTTCCAAGTGAGGCCAAGATGTGAAAGAAGCAAAAGAGCAGAAACGAAGTCTGGATTGAATAGCCATTACTGGTTCAGGAGGAGCTCCGGGGGCGACCGTGCCCCGGGAGTGGGCGGGGAGCGACTGGCCGCACTAGGGGTTTGGGAGGAGGTGGAGACGGGGGGGGGGCGTGGCGGGGGCAGGAACCGGGACCCAGGCAGAGCCGAGACGAACCGACTTCAGCCTGCGAGGCGGTAGTGGGTCACTTTGGCGAACAGGACAACCCCGAACTCCACCTCCAGCCAGGTCCAGGGTACTTCTGCGCCCCTCAGGACTTGTGAATTATTTACTTCCCATTTGGCTAAGAGAAAAAGGAAATTCTTTTCTCCAGGTGCAAGACTTCGTGACACTTTGATCTTAATCTCGTTCCCTGGAAAGTAAAGCCCGGACAGGTAAATTTAGCACTAGCGGTGGGGTTCGCTCAGCCGAGGTCACCGCTAAGAGCCGGAAACAGTTTAGTTTTCCCGCTACTTTTAAAGTGATGGACTTGGCCAGGGTTTGGTTGCGAGGGAGAGAGCCCAGATCGCTGCGCTGCACCTCTCCTTTCGTTCACTGCTCTTATCCAGCCACCCCCACTGGGATCGCAACGTCCTAACCTTTAAACGAACGTTGCACCGCGTTGCCCTAGTGCACACGATCCATTTCCCTAGTGATTCTTCTGTTTCCTCCTCCATATTTCCACCCCTGTGCTGAACACGACACATCCAGGCCAGATGTTGAAGCAGCGATTGTTACCGCAGTAGAAAAATAACAATTTATTGTACATCTGGGCTTAGCAGCATCACTGCACTCCTTCATCTGGGCTAGCTCTGTAAGTGCTGGGAGCTCACTTTGGCGAGCTCAGTTTGTATGTGCTGTTGAGCTCACTCAACTAAACCTCCAGCTCCTGTGCTGAGCGTCTGTTAGGGGACCTACCTGCCAGGTGGGCACAAAAGAAAATGTTGGCGAATGGCCACTATGCCAACTTTCCAAGAATAACACTGGAAAGCATTATACTAAAACCTGGGCTTCCAGTGCCTTTGGGGAACTCTTGATTTTTGTACCTAAAAGCTAAGGTTACACGCTACTGGCTATTTCAAGGACTCAGTTTTTCAAGTGTTGATGTTCTTTAGGAAATAATGAGATTGAAGCAACAGTTCAAATGATGTATATGTGTGTGGTATAAGCATATGTTCAAAGTAGTCTCACATAAAAAAAAAACCTCTGAAAATTAATTTTAAAGCCATCAGCAAGTAACAGATTGCTGCTTCCGGGGACCACTCCAGTTAAAGGATGGTTGCTTTAAGCCATCTTAAGTGAATATACTAAAGAATTGTCTGCACAGACCTAGTTTTGAAATGATTCATTTCTGCCAGCAATTATAATTGCTTCCATTTGTGATATGAACATTAGGTAAAAGATTTGGGGCTGATTCAGCTATCTTACCCTTCTCATTTAGGCAAGAATATTTAGCTTAATATTTGAAACATACATTGGCATGAGACAGACTACATTTTCTCTACATTATTGCATATGATTCTTTTCCATTAGAGCTTTCATTAAAAAAAAAACCACATTAATACTATTTCTCACATCAGTTTACTAGTCTCCCAAAGAAAAATGGGAAAAATAAGAATAGTGTTTAACAATGTTAATTGAACAAGAATGTATATCTGAAGGTCCAAAAGCTATTTGACCTGCTGGTATCAGGGTACCAAGGGTCTAGACCAGCGGTTCTCAACCTGTGGGTTGCGACCCTTTTGAGGGTCGAACGACCCTTTCACAGGGGTTGCCTAAGACCATCGGAAAACAAAGATATTTACATTATGATTCATAGCAGTAGCAAAATTACAGTTATAGAGTAGTAACGAAAATAATTTTATGGTTGGGGGTCACCACAACATGAGGAACTGTATTAAGGGGTCGCAGCATTAGGAAGGTTGCAAACCGCTGGTCTACTCAAGCTCAATTATCTTTGGAGCTACTCAGGAAATATCGATGCAATTCATTCAACAAACATACAGAGCAAGTATTTTGTGCCAGGCAGTCTGTTAGGCACAGAGGATTCAAAGATGAGCACTCATCTTAGTTTTTAGGATTCACAGGTGGAGGTGAAGCAACGCAGTGACCCTCATGCAACAGTAGGGTCTTGTGGCAGAAATAGGGGAGCACCAATGAGGGCAATAAAATCGGCTTGATAGGGATTATCAGAGAAGGCTTCCTGCGGAAGGAAATATGGTCTTATTTCATTATTTTCAACTGTAAAAGTAACACAGGCGCATTACAGTACTTAAAGGAAAACAAAGAAGTGAATGTGAATCTCTAATATTCCCACCAACCCCACTACACAGAGCCGGCTACTGTAAAGAGTTTGGTGTGAACCGTTCAGTTTTACTTGTACATATATTTATACATACATAATCCCCTTTTAAAAACATAATAAAATCATACACATTTGTCTATAATTGGCTATTTTTAAAAACATATTGTGGTGACCAGCCTCCAAGACAGTCCCCAAAGATGTCCCAATTCCTCGTTGTAATCACATCCTTGGTTAACCCTTCCACTTGTACCAGAGTTGGTCTGTGTGACCAATAGAGCACAGAAATGATGGCGTTACTTCTGAGATTAGGTTGTAAGAGATGGCAACTTCCATATTGGTTCTTCTCTTTTTCTTGTATCACTCAGTCTGGGCAAAGCCAGATGCCATGTTTTGGGGACATTCAGACAAACTACAAAGGGTCCCACATGATGAGTATTTATCTGAGGCTGTGAACAACCTTGTGAGTGACTTTGGAAGCTGATACTTTCGCCCCAGTTGAGCTTCAGATGTCTGTAGACCCAGGTGACAGCTTATCTGCAATATCATGAGAAAACCTGAGCCAGAGCGACTCAGCTAAGCCACTCCTGGATTCCTGACCTAGAGAAACTGTAAGATAAATAAATGTTTGTTGCCTTAAGCTGCTAAATTTGGAAGTGATTTTTTAATACAGAAATAGATAACATACATATTAATAGCAATGTATTTTTCCAAGTCAGGACACAAAGTTTCACCTTATTCTTTTGAATGACTGTTCTGGTGATTTTGAAGAGCTCTTTATAAATTCTGGATATTAAACCGTTTGTTACATATGTTGCAAATATGTCCTTCCCAAAATATCTTTTAGCTTTGCTAATGGTATGTTTTACTATTTTAATTTTTGTATGTTGTCAATCTTTTTTAGTCATTTCACGTGACTTTCAAATGACGGGCAAAAATTTGCCAAGCCAAGAGCAGGGCAATTCAGGCCCATGGACTAGCTTGAGCAAAGAGAATCAAAACCTACGTTGTTTCCACGGGGATTTTGTGAGCATGCTAGAGTTGTTGGAGCATGAAGTGCGTGACAATGTGGAGGGAAGCAACTCGCAGAGAGGGGCAGGGGCTTGTCCCAAAAGACCTTGGCTGCCTGGTTAGCGAGCCTGAATTTTTCCCGTAGGCAATCCTATGAGCAGAGAAAGGTTTGACACTGAAATTGATGTAATCAGATTGCATTTTAGATCTGTCTCCGGCAGCTGTGTTGAAAAGGATGACTCTGAGGACACAGAACGAGAAACAGACACATCACTTAGGAAGCTGCTGTGATGGTCCGGAGAAAAGCTAATGATGGCGTGAACTGGGGCAGTGGTGGTTGGATGGAGAGACAGAATGGAGAAGTACTTAAGGGGTAAAAGGGACAGGACTTAGTGACCTATTTGATGTGTCTTGGAGTGGAGAGGTGGGAAAAAGGGGGGACGGAACAGGATGGCACTTAGCTCCTGGGTGGATAGTATTGGAAACAAATGAAAAAGCATGTTCAGGAGGAACTGGCTTAGTGAGCTAGACGAGCTTGGTTAGAAGAAAATGAGTGCAAAGGCTTGTGGGAGACCCAGTTGGGGAAGGCAGGAGACATAGATTGGAGAATATTCAGTAAATATATGGAGGCCAAAAAACCATTTAAGTGGATTATCTCATCCAAGAAGAGTCTGCTAAGTAAATTAATGAGTTTATTTTTGGAAGAGCCAAATCATAGCTAAGTTATGCAGTTAACAAATACCAAAGGGGGTGATATATCTTGGTAGGGTGACTCCAGACCGAGGGTCAGCTTCTTAGCTCTTTAGACTTGGAAACTCAATTTTGTCAGTTCTATCAGGAATGATCACGGTCTAGTCACCAGAGCGTTCCACATCTTTACTATTTCTCAGTGGGCTGATTTCTGTTACTGTGAGGATAAGGAGGCCATGTGGCAGGACCATGCGTTTGGATCCAGTCCTAGATTTCAAATTCCAGCTCCATATTTCCTGGGTGTTATGACTCCTGAGAGCCTTTGTTTCCTTGTCTGGAACACCTGGAGGGCTTCCTTGCAGGGATGGTATAAAGGTTAAAAGGGATACCATATAGAAAACATCTCACATAGTGCCCAGATCACAGAAGACACTAGGTGACCTGCGTTCCCCTTTCCGGCATTCACTTTAGAGTGCTGTGCTGTCACTGCAGGGCAGGAGGAGCTTGCTTGCGAAGGCAGACAGGGTGAAAGCTAAGAGCTCAGTAGCCAGCAGACAAATGCTGATTTTCCCAGCAGTTGGGAAATGACAGCTTATCCTCCTGAAGTTCAGAGAGGCTTTTTGGCTTGTGAACTACTAAGAATGAAAAAACCTTGCACATTCTTTCAGGAGAGAATCCAGCTACTTTCCTTCTAGTTTTCCAATCCTAGCTCCAGGGAACCCACTGGATAAATGTTCACCCACCCACACTCATTTATATTGAGAGGCTCCAAGGACCTGAGTTAAGTATTATGAAAGTGAGTGAACGAAGCATCTCTAACATGCCCAAAGTAGAGGAAAGAAATGATAAACCGAGAACTTAGTTTTTAAATCACAAATAATTGTCTCAAAAGATACATGTAGATTTTAATAAAATCTCTTGCATTCTAAAAGGAAAGTAAGTAATTGCATTTAATGTTAAGTATGATCTGGATTGGGTATTTTTAAAGGTCTATTATAAATTCTGCTGATATGGAGAACACCCACTGCGAAGCTGCTTTTATTACACTGCACTTAGTGTGATGCCATTAGTTCTTAGGGAGGGAAGCCACAGGCAGCAGCTCTATGAACCTCATCATCGGGACAGCTCTGAGGATGTGTATGAGCTCCTAGTTCCTGACAATATGTTCATGTTAAGCAGGGTCCTCTTTTATGGGGCCTCTCAAAAACAGTTAGTATCGATTGGTCGAAGCACTAAAAAAAAATTGTACTTTCCCTGAGACCATTCATTCATTTAACAAATATTTACTGGGCACTTTCCCTGCGCTGGGCATGATGCTAGGGCCATGCCTGGGACGAGGACAAAGTCCTTGCCCTCAGGCCTTGGGTACTAAATTGTGTACTTGACCAGGCTTCCCATTTATATGCCAGTAGCAACTTTCTAGGACTCTGAGTCACATATTTTCAAGTCCTACTTGTGGCTCTACTTTATGTCTCCTTTTGTTCTTTTATGCAGTCTTATTTTTTTGTATTTTGTAAGCTGTCTTAATTTTTTTCTAGAACAAGTAAACAAAGAAATATGTACATTAGACAACATACATATATTTTAATTTATTTTTGTTGTAATTACTACAAGTATATTTTACTATTTAAAAATTTCCAAAAACTTGTTAAAATGTAATGACAAATTTTGCCATTTATGACTCATTTTATTTTAATATTATATAAAAGTATAAATGTTATGCAAAGTTATTTGTTTTACTATTTTTTTCTCTTTTAAACTACTTTTTTAGAGGTATCAACACCTAGAGATCTTTCAAGGAGCCTTAGGGAGGTAGTGAAGAGGGCTGATAGCATTATGTAGGGCTAGTTTCAAGGGCAGTTGCTTGAAACCTTAGTAGGACCTAAGAATGTTTGTTCAGTGACCAGTTTTCCTGTTTAAAAAAAAAAAAGTTATCATAGTAGAGAAATAGAAAGAGAGAAATATAGGGTCATAGGTACAATATCTAAAAAGACTGAATAACTAAAAAAAAAAAATCTAAGCTCTTAACTCATAGCATTCCATGCTCTTAATGCATGACGCCATCCTAGAATCATTGTCTATGTGTTAAACACATAGTACGTGCTCAATAAATAACTGTTGAAAAAGTTAAATCTATATTAGAGCCCTGTTCCTGAGCCATAGATATAGCTATATTATATATATAGCATTGTATTAATATATACACTATATTAGAAAAAGCAATCTTGCTGGGGATGTCACAAAATAATAAAGGATCAAGAGATGCAGTTTATTTTGATTTTTATCAACAGTGATTATATTTTACATCAAAAATTACAAATTACAAATGAAATATATCACTATCAATATAATCTATGATCGCCCATGTTTTAATCCATTTTATAATACAGAGGTTACATTTTCGTAGACACTGTAAGATATACCATAACATCAATTATTCCGTAGGATTTTAAGAAATATGGCTATGTACCAGGCTTAAATGATGAGCCAAAGTCTGTATCAGCTGCCTCACAACCAGTCCAGGGTAAGTTTTTAAAATTTGAAATCTGAATGGCATATAAAAGCATAATGACTATGTTATCAGTAGTAAATTTATTTCCTGTTAAGTAGTTCTTCAACCAATATTCTTTGTGTGTCTCAAGCAGGCACAGTAAGACAAACAGGATCATATATCTTTATCGTTTCATCCCAAGCACAGTCAGCCACCTAGAAAACAAAAAGTAAGAGGAAACATAATATACAGCTATTCAAAAATGGCAGCAAAAGCCTAAGTCGCTTAGCGTGTAGCAGATCATCCTCTAGTAAACATACCTGTAAATAGGAAGAAGAGAGGGATGCCTTTTTGATAAAAGGTCTATTTGCCCTTCTTAAGATCTATTTCAGGGACTGTTTCCATTGAATGAAGTTGCCTGTAAGGATTTCCTCACCCTGCCCTGCCCCACCCCAGAGCTACATAATTCCCTATACTTCCTGAGAGAAATGTTGGAAAGAAGCAATCCTAAACCATGAACCAATGCATGGTGTTCAGTATTGTGGGGATGGAGCCGAGATAAAGAACAGCAGCTCCTGACTTCAAAGAATGGCTCATTCATGACTGGAAGTGGAAAATTCTCTAATAGAGACTCTCCTAGGAGGGACTGTTTCAATCCAGCTGGGGCAGTGTCAGACCACTTCACAAACGCCATGGCATTCACACTGGGCCTTTTTTAGGGGCGGACATGACAGACAAGGACATTCAAGTCTAAAAAGCCATCTTCAAACATAAAGGGAAGGAAGTTCATGGTGCTCAGGAGCTGTGTTAAAAATTGGTAACTGTAGCAATGTCTCGGTATAAGATTATTATATAAATTTAATTGTATTGTATTTCTATATATTAGCAGGAAACATGTTTTTAAATAAAAAGTTTTAAATCCATTTACAACAGCATCAAATAAAATACTCAGCAACACATTTAACAAAAGACATGCAAAATATCTACACTAAAAACTAAAATATCACTGAGTGAAATGAAAGAAGGCCTAATTAATGGGAAAATATACTATGCTCATGGGTTCAATATTGTTAAGAAGAAAATTCTCCCCCAGAATAATATGCAACTCATAATCCCTGTAGGCTTTTTAATAAAAATGGACAAGGTGATTTTTGACATTTATGTGGAAATGCAGAGGACCTAGAACAGCCAAAAGAATCTTGAAAAAGAACAAGAAAGTTGTACTAATACTACCTGATTCAAGACTTACCATGAAACTATAGTAATTAAGACAGTGCAATATTGATACAAAGATATATAAAATCAAAGGAATAGAACAGAGTTCAGGAATAGACCTCATATTTGGATAACTGCTTTTCAACAAATGTATCAAAACAATTCAATGGGGGGGAGTGTCTTCAAAATGGTGCTAGAATTGGATATCCATATGGAAAGAAAAATATACCTCAACTCCAACTTCACACCATAAACAAAAATTAATTTGAGGTGGATGGACCACAGTCCTAAATATAAAAGCTAAAGATATAAAGCTTTTCAGAAGAAAACATAGGAGAATATATTCTCAATCTGAAGTTATGTAAAGATTTCTTAGACAAGACACAGAAATCTATAACCATAAAAATTTGGTAACTTAGACTCAATCAAAAATAAAACTTTTGCTCATCAAAAGACACTGGTAAGAAAATGAACAGACAAGCCAGAGTAGGAGAAAAATACACATCTGACAAAGAACTTGTATCCAGAACATATAAAAACTACTATAACTCAATCAAAAGACAACCCAGTTAGAGACCCAGTTTATTAAAAGACAAAAAGAAAGATATATGAATGACCAGTAAGCACATGAAAGAAATGTTCAACACCATCAGGCATCAGGGAATGCAAATAAAAGCCATAATGAGATACCACTATATACTCACGAGAGTGACTAAAATTAAAGATAGACACTATCAAATGTGAGCAGCTGTACCGTCATACACAGCTGGTGCAACTACTTTGGAAAACTAGCCATTTCTTTTAAGGTTAAACATATACCTATCTTTAGACCCAGTAATTCCAGTCCTAGAAGCTTACCCAACAGAAATGAAAACATGTTTATGATACATGTTGTACAAGAATGTCCATAGCAACTTCATTCACAATTGCACAAAATTAGAAACAATGTGTAAGCCCTGACAGGTGGCTTTTCTTTGGGTGATGCAAGTGTCTGACAAGCTTTGATTGATGAGGCATCCACTTCAAAGAGGCATCTGCTTCAACGAAGACCATCTCCATTAAATACACAGCCAGCCACACAACTAGGTATATGTGCCCCCTGATGTGCCTTGTCCGCTGTGGGTCCTGTAAGTAATCAACTCATTTTTCTTCAAAGCTTCCTAATGGCTATTGCTGAAAGGCAATACTTAAAATCATACTTAATATGATACTGTGATCATACTTGAAAACCACAAGGGTCGGTCAGGTCATAACAGTAGTTTAGAAAGGGGAGATGTCTGTGGGAAGCTCACTGGGGCCCAGGTGAGTGGCCCCCAGACATTTAAAGCCATCACATTACAATCCATAGGCTGAGACCAGCACAAAACACAACCCAAATATCCCTTGACAAAAGAATGGCTAACAAATTGTAATAAATGCACACAACAGAATGCTGCTAAGCAGCACAACGAGAGGACTGATAAGCTCAGCAATATGGATGAATCTCACATATAATAAGCTGGGCAAAAGAAGCCAGAAACAAAAGAGTACATACAAGAGATTCCATTATGTAAATTCCAAAATAGGCAAAACTAATCTAAGGTAAAAAAAAAAATCAAGGGTATGTATGTATGTATGTATGTATGTTTATTTCCAGCTGAAGGAGAGACTGGAAAGGGACAAAAGGGAATTTGGGAAGGAGATGCAAATGCTTGTATTTGGATAGGATATAGGATATAAATTACACAGGTGTATCTGTCAAAAACATACATCTTAAGATTTATACATTTCAATGGGTGTAAATTTTACCTAAAAATAGTAAGAACAATACAATAATGACAATAATAATAATTGAATGAGGGATGGGAAGTGAGTAGAGGAATAAATAAAACAAGAATGTTGATAATTATTGAAACTGTTCATGTTTACTTTTATATATTTGAAATTTACCATAATAAAAAAAGAAAAGAAGAATGTAGGTAGTAACATGAAGGAGGAAGTAGCAAGGCAGTGATTCTGACCAAAGCCATTTGCACTCTATTTTCTACCTTTTAATGGCTATGAAGGCCGAAGGTTACACAAGGGCACCTGCAGCCTTGGTTAGTCTAATTACCTGGCAGTCACTGACTGTGAATACAAGAACCACTCAAATTAATTAGAACATACTAACTCCTTACCATTCACCAATAATATTTTAGATCAGACTCCAGGCTACATAGAATAGTAGAGGCCTTTCAGTTAAACTTTTAAAAATGAAATCTATTGAGGTAACAATGGTTAATAATGTTATATAAATTTCAGGTGTACATTATATTTTGACATCTGCATACTCTATTGCATGCTTACCACCCCAAGTCTAGTTTCCTTCTGTTACCATATATTTGACCCCCTTTACCCACTTTGCCTTTCCCCTAACCCTCTTCCCCTCTGGTAATTTAAGCATTAAAAACCAGACCGTTCAAGGTTTGGTTGCAACCTACTTCTTGGTTTCTCCCTGCACCAGGCTCCCACTCACATCCTCACATCCGTGCCTCATCTTGTGCACGCCTCTCCGCTTTTGCTTTTACTGAGCCCCTCCCTGAATAACCTCTCTTCTCCCTCCCTGTCCCTCTTCCTCTTGCCAAGCTCTGCCTGGAGATGGCAGTTCTCCACTGAAGAGGCAGTTTAAGCATCGCTTCCTCCATGCAGTCTTTCATAGTATCTGTAATACTCAGCTGTATTTATTTACTGGCACATGTGTCTCAGCTCTTTGAGGGTACGGACCATGTCTTGCTATATATAACATAACAATGACTCAATAAATATTAGCTCAAAGAACGCATTTTATAGGTTAAGGCTGCAGAGATTAACATTTTCTCATGTTCACACTCCAGGGGCAGAGCTGGACCAGAGTCTAAATCTGTTGAAGCTGTCTGTCCCCTAAAAATAGTGCCTCATAAAAGGCAAACTCATATTCATTATTTGCCTGACCCTGCAGTTAGAGGTTTTTATACCATGGGGCACAAAGATCATTACATTAACTTGCCCTTGCCTTATCTATGTATATTTTCTTAAGTGCTAGGCCTTTTGTATATTAAGTGTCAACAATTATGAAGAAGAGAACCAGAGAAGACTTAGGTTTCTAATATAAGGTATCCATAAACTTATGTTTCTAAATCCTTATTCAGCACTCTTAAAACCAGCTTATTTACTCAGAACTTATAATAACTAACAAATGTCAAGGCCACTGAATCGGCAAATGTCCATAAATCTATACTTAAATTAACTGGTACTACAAGCAAGACCTAAAACTGTAATGATTCAGAATGGTGAACAGAGTGATTCAAATAAATGCAAATATTTCTCCATTAACTAATTAAACTCCATCTAGTGGCACAAGTTTTAAAAAGCTTACAATAATAATAATAATAATTAAAAAAAAGCACTTTACTGAACTAACAATGAGCTCCAGCTTCTCCAAGGTAGGCACTGGAGAGTCTACCTGGTAAGGAAAGATGTCTGTGTGGTCCCCAGGGCTGGGCGGAGGGCTCTCGCTCATTACCATCACTGCCCCAGTGGCCTCTGGGGGCACTGCTTCCCACTTCATTCTATGACAGAGTCAAACAGGGCTCTTTTTGAATGTTTCCTACTGTGTAACTGAGGCCAGACTGAAAAGCATTAAAAAAATAGACTTTGTTAAAATTAGGGGTTGACAAAAAGACCAAAAGAAATAAGTGAACTACACACAAATAAATAGCCTGCGTTACAGCATGAGATCCATTCATTCTTTAGCTTGTTACAGAGAGGAATCTTTCTTAGCTCCCAACTGGCTGCTTCCTGACAGAAGCCATCTTTCTCTCCCATCCCCAGGAAGGGACTCCAGGCCATGAAGACTCCTTCAAGGCCAGACTCAGGATAGAGAATGAGAAGCCGATAATAGGATATCTCCTTTCTCATCTGCTGGAGATCTTCTTTCTCAGTTTCAGTCTCCTATATGAGGTCTCACTTCTTTGCCCATTACCTTGCTGTCAGGAAAAACTGT